TCTCTCTCTCTCTCTCTCTCTCTCTCTCTCTCTCTCTCTCTCTCTCTCTCTCTCTCTCTCACACACACACACACACACACACACACACACAAACTATTTCTCTCTCCCTCTTGCCTCCCTCTCTTCTCCCCCTCTTCCCCCTGGATTTCTTGTAATCCTACCATCTAGTATTTGTTGGGATGACTCACCCACCATCCAGAAAGCGCCTGGATCATACTGTCCAGTTGACCTGGTCGCAAATCCCTTCCCGCTGCAAAATGAACCTGCATGTTGATGGTTTTGCAGTAACATTAGAATACAAATTATATTGTTTCCAAATCGGTCTTCAACGTTCGCAATTAACACAATAAACAAGTGAAGTCAAAGCAGTGCCATTTTCTCGACACCTGGCATGGCTCTTTGTTGCCTGCATCTAGACAAAACCATGCTCAGGTACATGCCAAAGGAATCCCAGTGTGAGTATGAGTATCTTGACTGCCAACCTCCCCCCTGTGTTTATCCCTCTACTAAGCATGATCTGTGTTCCACACTCAGCACAGCAGCCCCCGTTTTGTTGCTGTGCAGGCTGGGAAGAGACGAGTCTCAATTCCATGACCTTTGTCAGGGTTCATAAAAGCCTCGGGAGTCCGGTCACAATTTACACGCTCTCCAGGCACACCTTGTAAACCAGGTCTATGTCTATGGCGAACCACCTAGAAAACTCTCAGCAGGGTGCAACGGCGGAAAAGGAGAGAGCAAGGACAGGAAGAGTCTATGACAACCTGTTTAATTGAGCTCTCACAGACTACTGTCGTCCCCCGAACACAACGCACCCTTATTATGACTGTATCTAACCGGAAACATCGCTTGTATACAATCAGAATCAGGGTAAGTTATGTTCGGAGGAAGACGGTAGCGAGGCTGGTCATGAAACCCTGGCATTCTGCAGAGCTGCCTGCGTACAATGCTTTTACCCATAACAACAATTCGCCCTTGCCCAACACGAAAAGCCGGCTCTGGGCCTCGCCCCACCGCTCTCGGAATGTGAAAAATACAAAAAGATGGTGAGCGTACCCGTACAATGTCTATGTGAATATACATTGATCATTTCCCACATTTGGTGAGTGGTGTAGTGAGAGCCTGTAGCCTCTACCCTCACCAGATGCAAGACCGCACTTGAGGTTCACAGCACTTTCAGCAGTCAGGGAAGCCTCTAACAAAAAAGGCAAAGCTCAGTCACAGCCGGAAAACACCGACACCATCACTCTGGATGCGCCTCCGCACATTTACTACACCTACATTGACAGCAAGTACGCTACCGGATTGACCACTCCTCGGAAAGAAAAACCGTCTCAAGATATATGCTGGTGTCCTTCAAATTGTGTACATATGACGGGTCCGCTGAGGTTCGTACGGCGAGTGCAACTGTGTTCATGGAAAGCTTCAAACGCCCAGTGCCGAGGACAAAGAAGTCTTTGTTTTTCTTTTTAATTTGGACCGTTTCTCCATTTATCTGTGTCATCCTTGTGCAGGAACCCTGCTAACCATAGTTGGGGCGCACAAGTGTGCAGTGCCGGGCGGGGCGGGGCGGGGCGCACTGCGCTGTGCGCTCGAATGACAGCGCGCGCACTGTGCGTCATGCGCTGCACACGCTAAGCACTTGTGGGCGGTGCGCACTGCGCTGTGCGCTCGAATGACAGCGCGCGCACTGTGCGTCATGCGCTGCGCGCGCTGAGCACTTGTGGTGTGGGGCGGTGCGCACTGCGCTCGAACGACAGCGCGCGCACTGTGCGCCATGCGCTGCGCGCGCTGAGGGAGATGCGCTATGTGCACGGAAAAAAAAAAAAAAAAAAAAAGAGAGAGAGAGAGAGAGAGAGAGAGAGAGAGAGAGACAAAAGGATCCCCTTTATGTCAATTCGAGAGCCCCTGCAGGTACCACGAATGGCTCCTACAACGCATGGGGAGCTATTGAGGACCTCTGCCTCACTGAGAAGGATGCACTCGTCATGCACGAAAGACATGGGGGCAGACCACCAATATATGCTGTGGATTCGAGTTCAGGGCTGTAGCTCGGCAGTTATGGGTCACCAGTTCAGCTAGACCCTGTTCGTGTATCCACGTGATTCTCAGGGCCTCCCTCCACCACTCACCAAATGTATATAATATTAGTAGAATGAATCTTCTGCTAAAACATGGAACCATACACCGCCATATGCTATGTCTTTTGTGCATTTGGTGAGTAGTGGAGCGGGCCCCACTGGACGTATTCGTAAGAAAACAAAAACAAGAAAACGAGAGAGCCACGGGCGTCTTCATCTTAACCCATAACTGCCAACATGCAGACCTGAACGCCAATCTTCAGCATACATTGGTGGTCGGCTGGCCATAGAAAACGTAACTTGTGATCTCTGCGAAGATTCGTGGGGCAGGTCGTTATCAGGCGACTGCCCCTTTTTGCGAACTTACCCCACCACTGTGTGGGATTTGCAGAAGGGAGCGGGAAGAACATCTTTCATACCCCGCCTAAAAAAGATGGAATGAGCCCTATTTTAAAAGTATTTTTACTATTTTATGCTTCGCCATTCTGAAACTTTTGGGGGAAGGGCCTGCAGAAATCGAAATTTGGCGGCCCTTACCCAAAAGCAAATTTCGAGCTTGGGGCGCGGCCGGTTTCTGAGCTCGCGCGGTGAGTTTAACATTTTTGCCGAGTTGGGGGCCCTAAGAAATTACAAAACACCTACTCTCTTTTTTTTTTTGTGGACCTAATTTTTCCAGTGCGCTGCGCGCGGTGCACAATTTGTGCGCAAATCCGTGCACCAAGGTGCGCCGCAACTATGTTGCTAACCTTCTCTGTATTGTTCCAATTCTAAACTGCCAGTACACGGCCCCAGCCTTGCAAGATTTCTTTTTCATGGCTCACTCCGAAAACTTCGGAGGCACAACTGCACTTGAACAGGATTGGTTCTGTAGGTCGTACACTTTCCTGTATCCACGAATACAGATGAGGTCCTTCGGGACCTCCGTTAAAATTGGAACGGAGGTACAGAGACAATTAGCATGGCCCCTGCGTAAAAAAAAATTGAAGGCTCGGCGGCTACCGGACCACAACGGCTGGCGGCTCCAACCAATAAAGAAAGAAAAAAAAAGTGTGCTGCTTGCAGTGCGACGCCACCAGGCCCAGGTGTGCTGGTAGTGTAATGGGTACGAGCGCCGAGCGCATAACTGGTTTATTTTTCGGAGTCTTCATATATAGTCTCTGAGGATCTCACACAGACATATGCTGGTTTGTTGTTGATAATCTGGGACATATGACGGGTCTGCGTAAGGGTCGTTTGGCAAGTACAAACTGTTTGCGTGGAGAGAGTCAGCTTCCCTAGGAAGCAGGCAAGGAGCCCAACCACGGAGTCTGGAGCTTGGCAGGTGAGCGGAACCATGCCACTTCGCGATGGAGATGCTTGAATGTCGGGTAGTTGAACTATCTCCTTGTTTTTAATAATTTGGACACTTTCTTGATGTATGCTTGTCATCCTCGCTGCAGGAGCCATGCTAATCTTCTCTGTATCGTTCCAATTTTAACGCTGTGTCGTTCCAATTTTAACGGATGTCCCAAAGGACTAACGAAACGATCTCCGTTTTGATATGAACAAAGCTATTCGGATACCGGGTTGGTTGTGCTAAATGAGTCTAAAATCCCGTGTACGCCGCACATAATAGCATGGATAGATAATGGGTTGGTGTCGGGGGTCTTTTTCTTTGTTGTTAAAGAGAGCCTTGTTTGGCGATGGCCAATTCGGAAACGTTCAATTTACCACCCCAGTGTCGTCAATTTCCCAGAGCTTGAAAGTTCAAATATCATCAGTCCTGGATGATGAGATAACCGAGTCTTCACCATAGCAGCGTTGTCAACGATTCCGGCAAATGGTGGCTAGATGTGCCAGGGGCACCCATACTGCCCCCAGTCTGTTCGAACATCTGGATGCAAACCCACGGGCAAAGAGCCGCTGAGAGGATTTTACCTTGGGATGAAATATGCATGTGGTGACGGTTAATAGCGTATGTGTGTGTATATCAGGACTACAGACATGATGCTGCATATCGACACATCTACCCACACGTCATGCTACGAGGTAAGGGAAAACAGTCCAGATTTGAATTGCATTTTAAGGAGCTCCCAAAACAACGGCAGGCATGTTACACAGACGGCGTGATCGCAATGCAAACCTCGGCTGCACTACGGACGTGGACACAGACTGGGGACCAGACCCTTGAGCTGGGAGAGATTGGACGTTTTTGTGTGAGCTCGCAGAGAAGAGGAGCATGCAGGGCTGTGTAACGCGTGCCTGAGAAAGACGGGGAGAACTGCAAAAGGAGGAACAGCGCGTGGGGGGTAGAGAATGGGCGGGGCCCCAGGGAAAGGGGTGACGCAGGAGGGGAAGGGGGGAAAGCATCTCTGGGGGGTGACAGGTTTTGCAGATATTCTTCCTGGAAGAGGGCATGGCAATTGAGCTAGGGAGGACATTGTGATCGAGCCAAGTGGGCAAGATGGGTAGTTGAAAGCCCCATACCATACCTAGGGAGCAAGCGCACTCTGTACTGGCCTCTGCAGGACCCTCCCAGGCAATCTTCGGTACTGGAGAAATCCAATGGTCATGATTTGGTACAGAGCAGCATTGTCCACCACCCAAGGAGCACCCTGAACAGAAGGCAGACCTTGGCATCTGTTTGAAGTCCATGTAATCCTTCGCTAATGCCGTCTCCCTCCCGTTATCAGGTCACCCATCGCTAGGTAACTAGCCCACTCAATGGCTTTTGCTTCATGCTGGACCGTCAGATCGCAGAGGTGATCAATGACGCGTTCTGCGCAGGGTACCGACAACATGTCAGGCCAGGATCTGTGTGTGAGAACCGAGTCCGCAGGAACCGACCGAATGAATGAAAAACTACTTCAAGACTCAGAACATACTTGCTCTTTCGTACTCATCAACCTAATTGCTAGTACTTGACCGTTGAGGCATTCGACTTCCTGGAAAAACACCCGGATTGACCGACACCTGCCCTATCCAGACCAGGACAAGTTCGCCATCCAAAAGAGTTAGCGGCATTGGCCAGAGTCGCCGAAGACGGGAGTCTAGGTGCAGGCCATGCCCCCGGTCAAACTTTCGATCCTCAGTTTGGGAAACAACTACAAGAATGCACACCATATCCAATGCACCTGTTTCAAACTTCCAATCTTCACTCAGCGGCGTTGGTTGGAGTCAACAAGAGTCTACCTGCGGGTTGCGCATCCAGTCAAACTTTTGATGCTAGTGAAGAAACATTGTGTTTTTCCCACAGTTGGTGGACAATGCTTCGGATGCTCACAACGGGGATGCACTCAGCTTCATCACTGCCAGTGAAGTTTTGGAAATGGACAGACCCAGAAAGAGATCCAGGCCCTGCATCAGAAGCCAGAAATTGTGGCCGCAAAGTCCCCCCTCCCCCTCTCTCGGGCCCTCTCTCCACCACTGTAAGAGTGATGAAACGGTGCAGAGAGAGAAGGGGTCATCTGTCATCTTCTGCACAGGCTTGAGGACCTCCCAGCAGGCTGCCATATCACTCCATCCAGTGCAGCAGCTCGACGGCGGACAGCAGATGTTCCCTGGACTCGTTATCTTTTTTATCCTCGTGAATGGACTTTCAAAGATCAAGGTTTGACTCCCACTCCTGCCTTTTTTAAGGGGGTCGGACCTAACCGGGTTTCGACTCCCACTCCTGTCTTTTTTAAGGGGGTCGGACATACCCTATTCTACCCAACAGGGTTTTAACACCAGAGAACTGTTTCTGATATTTGAACAGTTATATATGTGTGACATTCAGCCATCAGGGTCAGGTGACACCCACCCCTCTTTTTTTGATTTTCAGGGAGTGGCCCCTACCTAATTGTATCCAACACGTTAAACCACCAGTACCTTTCCCATACATTGGCCGAGGGAAAAACTATAGTGGAAGCGTATCGACTCCACTGAACTCGCGGCCCCTCCGGTAGTGGCACGGTCATCCTCCAGAAGTTGCAGCCGCATGCGGAAGCGACTTTTCGAGGTATTGTTGGTGTGGTTTAGAGTTCATACACCGGAGCTGTTTTCCAACAGGTATGTGGGTGCGGTACTGTGTACCACCCAGAAACCAGGGCCAGGTGGCTGCCACTCCTCTCGAGTCCCTTAGAGAATTGGCAATAGGCTTGCTACTCTAACCTGGCATACTAACATCAGCATTACTGAGACTGCATCTGACTCCGATTGCGATGTGGCCGTTTTTCAGTCGCGACATTCTGACAGTGCCGCACACACCCAAATGCCCAGTTTAGAATGTTCATTCTTTTCTTCACATTTGGACGTTGCCTGACATGAGAGTCTCGCCTCTTCAGCTGAAGCAGCAATCTATAGTGCCGCACGGCGCACGTATTAAGAAAATGCTTGTAACCAGACGGCTGCTGGGTGGGACCTCTCTTACCACCCTCCCTGAGCAGTCAGTCCGGTTTTTGCAAAAGAACAAATTCAATTGACACTCTCAAGGTCTCAGAACGTCCGTTCACAGAATAACAAAAGATGATGCTAAGTTCTCACTGCAATCCTATTGCCCCCACCTAAGTAGGTCTTGGGTATCACCGTAAGCAAACAAGCAGTGAAAGTTGTGAAACGCATTGACTGCTGCCTCATCGTCATCGCGCACATAAACCCCATCACCACCCCCTCTTCAACGTGGGAGGCTGGCTACAGGCATTGAAACCAAGGCGACCTGTGAGCCTGCGCGATTGATTTTGAGACACTAGTGATGCATTTATATGTTGCAGACTGCGCTACTTTGCCTCAATCAATAGTATTGATTTCATTTGAGTAAGAGTTATTTACTATTATTATTTATTTATCGTGGTTTCAATTAACACAATTTACCGTACATATACACAAGTCATTGGTCCTTAGCTCCACGTAAAGTCTCTGAGGATCCTACACATGGTAGAGGAGGAGGCTCATTAAAACGCATGTAGGGAGATCTGCAGACGATCAGGCAATAGCGTGAAAGATTAGTCGCACGTGGGCAAAAGCGGACAAAAGGGAGCATATGGTTTACCACCGTCGGGTGTTGAAAAACAAAAACAAAACGAAAAAAAAAAAGCAATTGATGTTGTTCACCAATGAGAAAAACAAATAGAGAAAAAAACCCCATTGATATGGTCATCTGAGTACTGCAGCTAGCCACCCAAGGCCGTGTTGTCCGTTCATCTTACCTCGAAACATCTCTGCCGTTGATCCAGCTTTCCTTGTACTATTCCCTGCATTGGCATCAGCATTTGTACATCAACCAAAAGCGAACCAGCTGTCATTTACTACCCAGAAGAACATGCATAAACCGATGGCCAAAACGCCACGACCAATGACAAATGAGTTCATTCAAAGAAAGGCCGGAGGCTTGGCAGAAGGCCTCACCACCATCCTTAGAGGGCTGCTGAGAGCATGCACACATACAACCACATCAGCTGAACTCGACAAGTGACACCTCAATTTGTACTCCATTGGCTGCTCCCTTGCCAGAGAGAACAGTTCGACAAATTACCCAGCAAACAGCCACCCCATTCCCTGTATCAGCAGCAGCACGTTTACATCGACCAAAAGTGAACTAGCTGTCATTGCCTACCCAGAAGGACATGCATAAAACCGATGGCAAAACACGAAGACCGATGATGACAAATGAGTTCATCCAAAGGAAGGCCGGGAGCCCTCCACCCTCCGTAGAGGGCTGAGAGAAAGCGCACATAAGACCACTTCAGCTGACCTCGACAAGTGACACCTCAAATCATACTCCCTTGCCAGAGACCAAACAGTACAACAAATTACCCAGCGAACAACCACCACACGCTCAGAACAGTCATGATGCACTTGACCTCCAAACCACCACACAGTCAGAACAGTCACGATGCACCTGACCACTAAGGCATGAACGCAAGTGTGCACAAAGCGAGACAAGTCAAGGATGGTCCCTTGCCAGAGACAGACAGAGAACGATAACTTATCCAGAGAACCAGAACCACATTCAGAACAGTCACGATGCACTTGACCTCCAAACCACCACCACATTCAGAACAGTCATGCCCTGTGCAGCATGAACGCAAGTGTGCACAAAGGGATGACAGGACCTCTGTCATCTTACAGTTCCTACCTGAAGGATGAAGGGCGGGCTGAGTGAGTGCACCCACAGATATTAATTAAGAAACCAATCAATGGCACTCAGCATACTCAATGTGCAGAGCATGCATTCACAGTATTCCCTGAAGGACTCTAATCGCTCAGTAGAAAGCTCAACATGGCGGTGATGACGATCACGTATGTTCTTTATGTGCTTTTTGTTCTTTTTCTCTAGAGGGCGGCGGCCTTGAAAAATCATCATTCAACCGATCGGACCCATGTAATTCAGAATGATTTGCATCTGGATTCGAACCTGGGTCTGTATTTCAACAATCCATGCAGTCCTTTGCTGTGCTCTTGTTCTTTATATTATGTGTCTTAAACCACCATCACCCCTCCCTGAGCCTGCTTTTCTGAACCTGTCCCCGGGAGCCGGGGAAGAGGCCTCGGCGGCTCGCTAAAAAGTCACGGTCGGTTGAAAAAAAAGTGTCTGGATGTACGTGTGTGGATGTCTATACGTCCTGATACAGATCGCCTCCTGTTATCTATGTGATCTTCAAACACACCTGACTGTGGTGTGGTTTATAAAACAAGAAAGAAAAAAGGACTCCATAGGACTGTCAGCTCAACAGACTGATAAGCCGGCCGAAAGCTCTACACGGTGACAATCTTGATCAAATGGACTTCCCAATTATTTTTTATTTTTTGGGGGGGAACCCATCAACAGCACTGGGACCATTACCCAGCTTATAGGTTACGTGGTACCCACGACAAGAGGGCTGATGGCCAGAATAGGTCCATCCCCAACAACACTCGTAACCCCTGTTAACTTCCCAATGATTGCAACACCTGTGACAACTTTTTACACACAAGGGAAAACGGAGGACCGAAAAAAAAGAAAAAAGGATAATAGTACGGACATTGTCACAGATGCACAGGGACAGTTAGGGAAACACAGTTCGTTCCTTGTCACACGACAATCAGAGCACTATTGGCGACTTGTTGCGCATGAGGGCGCAATGGGGGCAATAGCAGGGCTGGGCCCCGGTCCATCCGGGTCCTCCCGGTTGGACCGGCCAGTGGACTGGGCCGGTTCCCTCCCGGTCGACCCCAGCGCATTTTTGCTGGGGGGCCGGGGGCTGAAATTTTTTTTTGGGCGGTGTGTGGGAGGCCTTCTGGAGGCAGGCCCTGCCCCGAAAATTCCAAAACCGGGTCCCGTAGGCCTGTTTCCTGTGGGTCCAAAAAGCGGCCGATCTTGGCCGCCGATCATCACAGATCAGCGGCAAAGATCGGCCGCTTTTTTTAACCCGTTTGGGCAAGAACCGCGCAGTGGTGCAAACGCGCGGCGGGGGAAAATGCATCGCGCGTCCAACCCCTGTTCACCCCTTGCAGACGACGATGCCCCTCCACGCGATGCGCTTTCCCCCGCCATCGCCACGGCCATCAACCTGCCCCAGCCAGCTTCGCCATCAAGCACCCCGCCAGCCATCAACTGCCAGCCAGCCTCACCACCAAGCCCCCCGCAAACAAACCATGCCAGCGCCCCCTGTGAAGAAGGTTTGTGGCCCCGTCCTTCTTCTGCGTCGTCGTCGTCGTCTTCTTCTTCTTTCTACTTCTTCGTCGTTCAAATTCTTCGATGTCTGCTCATCTTCGTGTCCTTCTTCTTCTTCTCCCTCGTGTCATCTTCGTCTGTTCTTCGACTCCTGGTATGTTTCTCTTCTCCTCCTCCTCCTCTTCTTCTTCTTCTTCGACTTCTTTCACTCTAAGACTTCTGTTCCCCCCCCTCCTCCTCTTCTTTGTCTCCTCCTCTCTTCTTCCTCCCCTCGTCCTCTTCGTCTTCTTTGTCTCCTCCCTCCTCTCTTCTTCCTCCCCTCGTCCTCTTCGTCTTCTTTGTCCTCTCCCCTCCTTTTCTTCGCCTTCTTCGTCCTCTCCTCCTCCTTTGCTTCGCCTTCTTCGTCTTCTTCCAGATCTTCTGTTCCCTTCCACGATGACCCTGCTGGTCGTCCATCATCCTCAACTCCCCCCCCCAGCGATCTTTTCTTCTTTTCTTCTTCCTCTCCTTCTTTACTTCTTCTCCTCCTTTTGTTCTTCCTCTTCCGTTGTCTTCTAACAAGTTCTTCTTTTCTTTCTCTTCTTCTTGTTGTGCTTTTTCCACTTTCTTCTTCTTCTCCTTCTCCTTCTCCTTCTCCTTCTCCTCCCCCCGTGCTTCTTGTTCTTCTTCCACTCCTCTTCTGATCTTCATCTCCTCCTCCTATTCTTCTTCTTCCTCCGCTTCTCATCCTCTTTGTTAGCCATAGTCGTTTTTTTTTGTTTTTTTTTTTCACTCCCTCCTCCTCCTCCTCCTCTTCCTCCTCCTCCTCTTCTTCTTCTTCATCTTCTTCTTCTTCTTCTTCTTCTCCTCCTCCTCCTTTTCCTTCCTCCTCCTCCTTTTCCTTCCTCCTCCTCCTTTTCCTTCCTCCTCCTCGTCTGTTAGACATAGCCTTGTGGGCCTGCAAACCCTGAAAGCAACACCCCCCTTACCA